ACACACACACACACACTCACAGGACAGGGCTGTGGCTATGAGGTCTCCGGTCCTCCCAGAGGCACAAGGCCCTGAGAGTTTCTCAGAAGTCCTCCACCCAACAACACCCCTTCCGGCGTGAGGCCGGGATTGAGATAGTTTAGGGTTTAGGGGTTAGGCTTTAGCTTAGATCTTGGGGTGTAGGGTTCGGGGGTTTATGAATGAGGGCTTAGAGTGTAGGGCTTCGAAGGTTTGGAGTTTAGGGTTGCTTGTGGCTAGAGCCCAGGTTACCGGGTTCAAAGACGTCTTGAGTCTTAAGTTGACCTGATCCTGGCTTTCCTCGCCGCTCCGGGGAGCTCATAAGGCTCCTGGTAGCGTACCTGTGGTCTCCATTGGAGTTCCCTTTGTTTTGTTTAGCCAAAAATTATCTTTTTGGGCTCCTGTAAGGTAACCCCCAAAAAAGGAACTACCATGCTGAGTGAGTATGATTTCGGCAGGTTCTCTTGGGCCCCCTGCAGTTTTGGCAGCAAAACCCGGAGAAGGCATCTTATTCCTAGCCTCCATACAAGGCGATCCCTTGACGGTGGACTTGCCGAGCACCCCGGTGCGCGAGAACGCCACCCACCTTCTGGCCTTCGGCGCCTCGAGCACGGGAGCTCCGCGGCTCAAAATGGGCAGTTCTCCAAGTTTGGGTCCCTTGTTGGGTCCCCAACATAGTACGACACCCTTTAAAACGGACCCCAAAAGGGACCCTAATTTAGAGAACTACTCAAAGAGGGGTCGGAATAATGTAGCAGTTTAGGGTGTAGGGCCATATCCCTGTATAGACTCCGTAGTAAAATTGCACCACTGTAGTTGACCATCTCTAGTACCCCTACATTCTAGGATTACAGCTTCATAAAGGTTCAGGCTTTAAGGTGTAGGATCGCAAGCACGAGCTGTGATTATGCAGCAAACGCCAGAAGTGAAGGCACAACTGGGGCTGTATGAACTATGGCGCGGCAAAAGGATTGGAAGGCAAGGCAGCAACCTGGAGACGTTGGCAAGAGAACCTGCCAGTAAGATCATGATGAAGTAAACATTATGATCTACGCCTACGCGTTCAGCCTCCCCAAACTTCATCGCCATAGGTGCACACGATAAACTAAATATCCAGACGGCTCGAAGATTCAAGCGGCAAATTTCACCGATGTTGACGGTGATGATGGGTCTTTTCACCTTGTGGACGGGGGTGAAGACGCCGGTGAGGTGCCAATTGTGACGCTGATGGGGCCAAAACCTTTCATAGAGACACAGATACAAGACGTACTAGCTACCTTTGTTCGGGACACAGGACCACATTGCACATGCTGAGACTTTGTCGTCTAATTTGTGTACCAAGGAGATATCGTGATGCCTGGTGGTTTGGGCAACTAAGTAACAAAAATGGCAGAGCAGTTGATAGACATGATGCTATCGAGCACTAGATTATGTGAGGGTTTTGTCATAAATTCTGTGATGACGCCCGAAATTGTAGACCGCTTGGCGGTCTAATCTCACATCCTTTGCGGCCTGCACATGCGACCTGAGGACAGCGTTCAGTGGCTGGGCGGCACGAGACGGGAGAGGAAGAAGGAAGGGTTTCGGGCGCTTTCGGCACTGAGGCAAATTTTGGCTATAATGTGCTAACTATATGATATTAGATCTTATCTTAGCCTATTATATATTTTATAAGATGTTTCTATTATGCTATTACCTTAATATCTAGTCTCATCTTATCTTATGTTACATCTACTGTATGGTATTGCGTGATATGACAGTATACGTTGTAAGAAGCTCTCATCTTAGCCGATGATGCTCGAGTAACCTTTGGAGGGCCCTGCAAGGACGAGCATCTCCCCAAAGCCCAGACTCCTAAGTCGCAGATCAAAAACCTACCAGGGTTCTTTAACGGAGACTGTAAGGGATACTATGAGGGATTCCATAAGGGATACTTTAAGGGGATTCTATAAGGGGCATTAGTAAGGGTTACTCGTACTACCATCAGATCATTCCTGTTTGGGTTGAGGATCTCGAGTTTGGGGTTCAAGGTTTAGGGTTTAGGGGTTTAGGGGTTTAGGGGTTAGGGTTTAGGGTTTGGGGTTCAGCATCTAGGGTGTAGGGTTTAGCATGACAGTACGTACGCGCAGGCGTGGTCTACCGTTTACTCCGTGAAGCTCTGAACATGCTGGGCTGTCCTCCACGCCCAAACCCTTGAACCTCCTCTCACCCCGAAGTTTTTTCAACTCTGAACGTGCACGCCCCCAGAAGCCCTAACCGTAAAGCTCCTAAACCCCAAACCCTAAATCCTAAAGGTTATAGGGTTTAGGTCCTAAGCCCTATAACCTAGACCTAACTTCTATATAAACCCTAAACTTAGGCCCTAAACCCTAAACTCTAAATTCTAAAATCCTAAACCCTATACCCTAAACTCTAAATCCTAAAACCTTAAACCCTAAACCCCAGACACCCCCCCAGACGCTAGACCCTAAACCCTAAGCTCTAAACACAAAAGCCGCAAAGCCCTTGAGGTTTATTGCGACCCCCTTCAGTGATTTGGTCTTGCCGACTGCCGTGGCCTCGAATGCCCCTGCCTTGGACACGTCTCCTTCAAGAACCCGTTAAGAAGGGACACTCTAAGGGATACGATGAGGGATGCCATAAGGTATTTCAAATAAGGGAGACTATAAGGGATTCTATAAGGGATCGAAAGTTCCAGAGGTCTGGCGAGGGGAAAGTGCACACTTTTGTTTGCTTTGGACTTGTGCTTTAGGTCACAGCTCGGTCTGGGCCCTAACCGCCGCTGACCGTCACCCCTGAAGCCCAAAGCCAAACGTTCAAAGTCAGGGTTTAGGGTTTAGGGTTTATTTAATGGCTGCCGCCAGTGCCGCCGACCCCTGAAGGCCCGGTCGCGACCCTCTTGTGAATGTAGTACCGAGATCTCTGCACACTCTACAGCTTACGCCAAAGTCCTCTCAACCTGACATTTTCAAGACTACACTTATAAGCCTTGAACCCCAGGGGAGTTAGTTTCCGAGCGAGAAACTAACCTTCCGCAGGAGAGTTAGTTTCCGATTGAGATACTATGAGAAACTAACTATCCTTCCGCAACAGAGTTAGTTTCCGAGCGAGAAACTATGAGAAACTAACCTTCC